GCATGATGAAAACACATTGACTTCTTGTCAAAGTCTTTCTTTTACTGTTTCATTTGGGTTTGCTTATTTAGTCTCTGTTTATCTTTTCACAGCATAACAAATTGTTTTCTTAGTTTTTTTTTTGGGAGTCAAGACTTGAGAGAATATGGAGAGGTCTCTTACGCTTTTGTTGATGTTCATAACTTTGGCCACCATTCATATTGTTCAAGCTCAAGACCAACAAGGTAGTATCATATTTCTTGTTTGTTACTATGCACATCCTTTCTACTTCTTTTAAAAACGATTTGGTGCTCAGTAGTGCACTGGTTGTAATTGTTACTGTTGTTTACCATGTCTGTGAACAACAGGGTTCATCAGTTTGGATTGCGGGCTACCCGCGAATGAACCGTCTTCTTATAATGAGACTGGTACCGGACTGTTGTTCTCTACCGACGAAAGTTTCATACAGAGCGGACAAACCGGTCGAATCAGAGAAAATCCTAACGGATTCCCTAAGCCATACGAGACGCTAAGATATTTTCCAGAGGGAATTCGTAACTGCTACAATCTGAATGTCATCAAGGGGCGTAAATATTTGATCAGAGCTTCCTTTGTATATGGAAATTACGATGGTCTTGACATTAAACCGGTGTTTAATATTTATCTTGGACCTAATCCGTGGGCAAAGATAGATTTGGAAAGACAAGATGGTACACGGGAAGAGATGTTACACATCCCAACATCAGTCTCGTTGCAGATTTGTCTTGTTAGGACCGGGGAAACTACACCACTAATATCCGCCTTGGAACTACGGCCGGTGAGAAATGATTCACATGATCACACTCAGTCTGGCTCACTGCAGTTAGTATCTCGAACATATCTTAGTGAATCCAAAACTACTTTCATAAGGTAACTCAGCTTCAACTGAATGCCTCGGTTATTATGCTCTGTTTCTTGTTGCTATGTCAAATAAAAGTTTTTAACCCACGACACTAAGCAAAACAGTACAAACCAAATTGACAAGTAATATATGTGAGTCTTTGAGATGATATTATCAAATCTTATTCGTTCCCATCCCACCCATTAAGAGAGAGTACAAATATATACTTGAACATTCGAAAGAAGACTAGGGATTAGCTAATTACAATAGTAGTTCTTAACACAATCAAAAGAATATATAGGTAATAATGAAGCTTTTTTTTCTGTATCTTTAACACTTAGGTATCCGGACGATGCCTATGATCAACTATGGATTCCAATGTTTTCCGCCGACTGGGCCCATATATACACCACTAGATATGTGTACAATGATAACAGATACAATCTACCGAAATACGTCCGAGAAAATGCTGTCACACCTACCAATGCGGATGGGCCATTGACAATAACATGGCCTTCAAAAGATCCTGGTGACCAATATTACTTGTATGAACACTTTGCTGAGATCCAAGACTTGCAGGCCAATGAAACCAGAGAATTCATGGTGGTATTGAACGGAAAAGTTGTTTCTAGCCCTGTAACTCCTAAAAATTTCAAAATAACAACTATGGAAAGTATGAGCCCGATAACTTGCGAAGGAAGGCAATGCAGTTTGCAGCTTACAAGAACCAAAAGATCTACTCTTCCACCTTTACTTAACGCTTTTATAATCTATAGAGTCATCCAATTTCTGCAATCCGAAACAAATGAAAAAGACGGTAGGTTTTGGTATGTTTCAACAGATCTTAATCAAACATAGTAGAGTACTAAAGACAATTTATGTACTAACTCTAAAATCATTATGATTTTTTTATGACAGTGGTTGCTATAAAAAGTATCAAAGACTTTTATGAATTGACTAGAATCAGCTGGCAAGGTGATCCATGTGTCCCTCAACACTTTATGTGGGATGGTTTAAACTGCAGCAACACGATTATTATCTCCACACCACCAAGAATCACTTCTCTGTAAGTTCTAATTAAGCTGAATTAGACTACAGCGCACACACTCTACAAAATCTATTAGTCACCAGAAACACTTTGAATATATCACCAGAAACTTGTCTTCTGGTCGTTTAAGTGGAACCATAGCAGCTGCCATAGAAGATCTTGCGCAGCTTGAAAAACTGTAAGTATGTCCATTGTTTATTGAAGAGTAAAAATTGTTGCTATAAATGGGAATAACTAACTTAGAGAAATGTCTTCTTCTTTTGTTTATTCAATCTTGAAAACTTTAGGGACTTGTCGAATAATAATTTGACTGGAGAGGTGCCGGAATTTCTAGGCAACATGAAATCTTTGGTGTTCATGTAAGTTTCTCTCTATATATTTTTCTAATGCACTTCCAAATATACCTCGAATCATGTTTGCGAATGTAAAAGGATTGCTCATTTTTACCAGAAATTTAAGCGGGAACGATCTCGATGGTTCGATACCTCAAACTCTTCAGAGAAAAGGCGTAGAGCTAGTGTAAGAACTTTTAACATTTTCCACAACCATTTTTGCTTGAGATAAACTACCATATAAACTAAGCCTTCCTTTTCTTGTAGTCTTCATGGAAACCCAAGACTTTGTCAGCCTGGTTCATGCATAAAACCACATAGCAGGAGCTTTCCAGTGGCAATTGTTGCATCTGTTGCGTCTATTGCCATCCTCGTTGCTGCTTTGGTTCTTTTTCTTGTTCTTAGAAAGAAAAAGCTATCGACTGTGGAAGGTAATACGCAAGGAAACTCTCACCTAAGCAATAAAGTATTTAAATTATCATGATTAGTCTTATTTACAACCCCTAATTATTCTTTCTCTTATAGTCACAGCTCCACAATTGCCACCAAGTATCCTGCCAATGGAGAACGTTACAAGTGCTAATTCACATGAACCATTAATTGAGATGAAAAGGAGAAGGTTTACTTATTCAGAGGTTATAAAAATGACAAATAACTTCCAAAGCGTTTTAGGTAAAGGTGGGTTCGGTGATGTGTATCACGGTACTCTGAATGATTCTGAAGAGGTGGCCGTAAAAGTACTTTCTCAATCATCAACGCAAGGCTCTAAACAGTTTAAGGCAGAGGTATTCGTATAATATTGTAACCTTTAATATTCCAACTAAACTATGATATGTTTTCAGCATCACTAAAGTTATGGACTTGTTGTTTTATTCACAATGGTGAATTAGGTTGATCTTCTTCTTAGAGTTCACCATACAAATTTGGTAAGCCTCGTTGGATATTGTGATGAAGAAGATCACTTGTCTCTCATCTATGAGTTTGTACCCAATGGAGACTTAAAAGAACATCTATCAGGTTACATTTTCTAATGACTATGCATGCATGATTAGATCACGAAACTCAGGGAACTCGTAAGAATATAAGGGCATCTTTATTGGGGGTATATTAGGGGGGTTTTTAAAATATAAAATTATTAAAATTTAAGTAAAAGGAAGAAAGAGAGTGTTTTTGGTTGAAATAATGAGGTGTATTGAAATATAAAATTAATAAAATTTGAGTAAAAAGAGGAGATAGTGGATGGGTTTTTAGGTGTGTTTAAATATAAAATTAATAAAAGTTGAGTAAAAGTATGAAATAGAAGGTATAAAGTTGAGTAAAAAAAATTGAGATAGTGTGTTTTAATAATTTTATATTTTAAGAACCGCCTAAGAAACCATGGATAAAGATGGCCTAATGATCTAATTAATATACAGGAAAACAAGGTAGACCTATCATCAATTGGGGTATGCGGCTAAGAATTGCTATCGAGGCCGCACTAGGTTCGTACTAAGTCATATATACAACAAGAATTGATTTGATTGGTTTTACGATAATCGTTTAATATAAATGCTTCATTTCATAGGATTGGAGTACTTGCACATTGGATGCACACCGGCGATGATTCATAGAGATGTCAAAACAGCCAACATATTGTTGGGGGAGCATTTCAAGGCCAAGCTTGCTGATTTTGGGCTCTCGAGGTCATTCCCAATTGGAGGAGAATCTCATGTTTCAACAATGATTGCTGGTACTCTTGGATACCTTGATCCTGAGTAAGTACACAATATTGCCACGTGGAAGTTGTCATTTCCTTGTTCAATCAATTGTTGGAGAGTATAAAAATTAAAAGTTCTTGCGCCTTGCAGATATTATCTAACATGTCGGTTGAGTGAGAAGAGCGACGTGTACAGCTTCGGGATTGTGTTATTGGAGATGATGACAAACCAACCAGTGATTGACCAAACCCGTGAAGAGTCTCACATAGCACATTGGGCACGGTTTGAGCTTAACGGAGGAGATATTACTAAAATCATGGATCCAAACCTACACGAGGAGTATGACTCTCGTTCTGCTTGGAGAGCCCTTGAACTGGCAATGTCATGCACAAATCCTTCTTCATCAAGACGACCAGACATGTCACAGGTTGTTGCCGAACTAAAAGGGTGTCTTGTGTATGAAAAGTCAAGGGGGAATATGAATATGGAATCTCAGAGTTCTACTGAAGTAAGTGTGAACTTTGACAGTGAGATGTTTCCTTTGGCAAGGTAGTTTTGTGTCTTGTTGCTGCCAAGTGCCAACCGTTGGGATTAGTCCGTATTTGATTGGTTACTAAGTAAAGATTGTTTTTTTATTAAAAGAAAAAGAATGTTGGTCAAAGAGTCAACGGTAGTTTAATTGTTACTAAAATAAAGAATTACAAAAAAACAAATTCAGTAGGGTCTAAACCATTGTAAGAATGGGTTAAGCCCAATGGCCAAACAAGATTTATGTTTCACCGCCGGGAATTCCTGATGATGGTGAAGCGCTCTTTTCTTTCGCTCTATGGGAGGTTCCGCTCTAGTCCTACGAAACACTAAATCCAGTTTTGCATAAAAACCAAAATATAATAGATAGTTCAAGACAAGAGGATGAGTATTAGTTCTTTCAGTTCTTCTTACTGGGTTTGGGGCCATGTAGGGAGTCCTTAATCCTGCTGCTGGCTTCTTAATCCTCTTTTCACAAACAACTTTATTCTGTTCTTCTGCCTCTAGCTCCTTCTCCACTTCACTCTCCTCCCTCTTCTCACTTTTTGCCTCTGCCTTCGGAAATTTCTCTGCTTCCTCTGCCTCTGGCTCCGATTTAAATCCAATCAAAGAATGTCTTTGATCCGAAAATTTCTCGGCTTCCTCTTCCTCTGCGTGGTTGCGAGAATTGGTTTAAATCCGATTTACACGGGATGGGTTGGATAATCCGCATGGGTCGGGTCAATAATAGGTTGGATCGGTAATTAAAAACAATTTCTCTGGTTTTTTTTGTCTTTTCCACCAATTTCAAATTAAAACAAAAATAATAAATCCTTATTATTCTCGGGTTATTTGTTAATTCGGTTTCCCTTTGAGAGTTATATGAGGTTTTGATCCTTGATCGCCGGAGAAAATGTCTCACCGCCGGGAACTCCTGATAATGGTGAAGCGCTCTTTTCTTTCGCTCTATGGGAGGTTCCAGTGTAGTAGACGGTCGTTTTATCACCGGAGATTCTCATTCCCCGATTCGATCAAAGAAATCAGATTTCTCACAGACTCGCTGCATGTGACTGTTGACTCTCCGAAGTTTATGCGATTCATTTCATTAAAAATTTCATCTTTGAACTGATGAATCCTGTCTGGAATTGTTTCTTCACCAATCCATGTCAATGACGACTATTACTCAGCATTTCTTTGTTCATGATGAATTCTTGTGTGTGATTGAATTGGCTCTTTGGAAGTAAAATGCATATTGTACTCTGACCAATATATACTACAATTTTTGCATCAAATGTGACATTGTCCTAAATCAACTTTTTTTTTATTGAAAACTAAATAATGGATTGTGATTTCTTATTCACTTCCTAAACAAAATAATTAGGCTAAGCACTTTGCACTTTAGCTCAAGTTTAAGAGACTCATAATTTAGTTAGAGCTGTGAAAGCAAGGAACGAACAGTCTTGTTGGGCACTTGGGCTCGTCTTTATGATTGATCGTCCTAATTAATATTGGAACATTGTTTTCCCCTTAAATATTGCATCGATCCTTTCTTGTCTCTTGTTTTTTAAGGTGGCACTAGAACACACATTTACTCATTTTCACCACTGACTTTGTCAAAGTCTTTCTTTTAAGTCTACGCTTTGGGGTTTGCTTTTATATTTTGGGCTGTTTTACTTCAACATCATAGTTCATAGTTCATAGTTCATACCCACTGGTTTCTTGTTTGTTCCTTGGGAGTTAAGAGAATATGGAGACTTCTCTTGGGCTTTTGTCGCTGCTAATCGGAACTTTGGCCAGCAAGACGAAAAAGGGAATACTGACAAACTGATCGACAGTGGCTTTGGGCCCAATTTTGGATAAAATGATTATTCTAATGGGCCGTTAAAGCCCTATAGAATCTTACTCAGTAAACGGAGAGGTCTCACTCTCACCAGTCTTTCTGACGACGGCGATGTCTCTCGCTGCCGCCGATTTACCACCGGTGGTGATTCAGAGTTTCTCGCACTACCGAAAGGTACTTTTACTGATCAAGTTTATTTTTTCTATAATCTTTGGGTTCGAAGCGATTCTTGTGAATGAAAATTGTCAAAGAAAATGGAAAAATGGACCACTTCAAGTCAGTGAGACCACTACAAAGTCATCTTATACAGTGATAAGATGAATATCTATTACAGCTAAAGATCAATTGACATGTTCTTTCGAATAACAAGTTGCTTATTTTCTGACCAAGAAATTAACATATGTTTCTTTGGATAATGTAGCTACATTATGTTCTTGATTGTGATCTAGGAAGATGATTTTTCCTAGTCTTCTTGTTATTTTCATTATAAAATTACATTTACTCAGAAATTTCATTGATTTGCTTTTTTATATTTGCACACTTAAGACCTTTTCTCATGTAGCCAGAGCTTGGTTTGGCTTCAATGTCCGTTTGGGTTTGTTTATCATATATATATATGCTGTTACTCTCTTAGAACTTTGGCATTTGTAGTGTTTTGATATTTCTTGAAAAGTAACTAATTATGGAGAGTCCTCCTCGGAGTTTGATGGTGGTATTATTAGGAACTTTGTCTATTATTCGTCTTGTTCAAGCTCAGGGTCAACAAGGTATTCACATATATTATACTATAAGTTCTGAGAAGTGCAATGGTTTGATGGTTGTTATTTTCCATTTGTGTTAGCAGGTTTCATCAGTTTGGATTGTGGGCTACCCGCAACTGAACGGTCTCCTTATGATGAGCCTAAGACTGGTTTACGGTTCTATTCTGACGAAAAGTTCATCCAGAGCGGAAAAACTGGTCGAGTCCGAGTAAATCCGGACGAATACCTGAAGCCATACCAGACGCTTAGATATTTTCCAGATGGAATTCGGAACTGCTACAATCTAAACATAGAGAAGGGAAGAAAACATCTGATTAGGGCTTTCTTTTCCTATCGAAATTATGATGGTCTTGACATTAACCCGACGTTTGATCTGTATCTTGGACCTAATATGTGGACCACGATAGATTTGCAAATACAAGTGAACGGTACACGGGCCGAGATCTTGCACATTCCAACATCAAACTCGTTGCAGATTTGTCTTGTTAAGACTGGGACAACTACTCCACTAATATCCACCTTGGAAATACGGCCGATGGGAAATGACACTTATATCACTAAGTCTGGCTCCCTGAATCTTTTTGGTCGGATATATCTCAGAGATTCAGATAAATATATAAGGTAACTCTTCTTTCGCTCTGTTTTTTGTGATTCTGTACACTGTTTTGCAACATAGGGGTTGTTTCAAGGAAAAGACTATCCATTCCTTCATGAAAAGTATAGTACAAATCAAACGATGAAGCATGTTGATCGTTTAGGTTCGAATTATTCCACTTCTAAAACCCATCTCCAGGTACCCGAGCGACATCTATGATCGCGTATGGACTTCGTACTTCATGAAGGAATGGACACAGATTTCCACCACTCTGGAAGTGAGCAATTCTAACAAATATGTTCCACCAAAAGACGTGCTCGCAACTGCTGCAACACCTACTAATTCCAGTGCGCCATTGACGATCCAATGGAGGTCAAGTAATGTTAATGACCAATATTACTTGTATGTACACTTTGCTGAGATTCAAGAGTTGCAGACAAACAGTACCAGGGAATTCAACGTGGTTTGGGATGGAGAAACCTCCGACCCTATAATTCCTACTAAATTTAATATAGATACTATCTACCGCCGGTTTCCAAGTACTTGCAAAGGAGGGGAATGCAATTTTCAGCTGAGAAGAACCAACAGATCAATTCTTCCACCTCTGCTTAACGCTCTTGAGGTCTACACAGTTACCGAGTTTCCGCAGTCTGAAACAAATGAAAAGGATGGTATGTGCATATAAGGTCTATACTTTTGTTGTATGTTTTAAAAGAGAAATTATAAACACAATAGAGTAGTCAAGTCACTAAAGCATCATTAAAAACCTGTTATGTCTAGTGATTGCTGTCCAAAACATCAAAGCCACCTATGAAATTAGTAAAATCAGCTGGCAAGGAGATCCATGCGTGCCTCAGCAGTTTATGTGGGATGGATTAAACTGCAGCAACACGGATATGGCTACACCACCAAGAATCACTTATTTGTAAGTCATAAGATCACTAGTACACATGCTTTTCAAGATCTGTTTAGTCGTGATCTATAATCATTTACACTTTGAATTCGTTTTTGGACATATCACCAGGAACTTGTCTTCAAGTGGTATAACTGGAACCATAGCAGCTGGCATTAAGAATCTTACGCAACTAAAAATTTTGTAAGTAACATTTCTTATATCGATTGGTATAAACTGGATTAATTTCAATTTTTATATTCAATCTTGAAAACTTTAGGGACTTGTCAAATAATAATTTGACTGGAGAGGTGCCGGAATTTCTAGGCGACATGACATCTTTGGTGTTCATGTAAGTTTCTCTACATGTTTTGCTAATGCTTCTCAAATTGCACCTCAATTCATTTTCGTGTATGTATGTGTATGACAAAAGTTTTTTTTTTTTAACAGAAACATAAGCTGGAATGATCTTAACGGTTCAATTCCTGAGGCTCTTCGGAGAAAAGGACTGAATTTATTGTGAGAAACTTTTCACATTGATTTTGTACTTTTCTCATTTATTATCCAGAAGCCATTTGTGTAATCATTGCCTTGAAACATCACTTGTCTTCTTGTAGTCATCAAGGGAACCCGAGACTTTGTCTCTCTGGTTCATGCCTACAACCCAAACCCAAGCCATTTCCAGTGGCAATTGTCGCATCAGTTGCCTCTGTAGCCATTATCATTGTTGTTTTGGTTCTTCTTTTTGTTTTCAGAAAGAAAAGGCCGGCGACTGTGGGAGGTAATTTGCTAGAAAACAACTCCAGGAACTAGAAATAGCTCATGAATAGTTTGGCTTGTATCCCCTGATGTGTTTCTTATCCACAGCTCTAAAAGGGCCACCACCTAGTATATCGCCAGCTGTGAATGTTACATATGCTAACTCATCTGTTTCATTAATCCAAACGAATAAGAGAAGGTTTACTTATTCAGAGGTCACCAATATGACAAACAACTTCCAAAGAGTTGTTGGGGAAGGAGGATTCAGTATTGTCTATCACGGTACTCTAAATGGATATGAACAAGTAGCTGTTAAAGTGCTTTCTCAATCATCAACTCAAGGCTATAAGCAATTCAAGGCAGAAGTATGCATACCTTAACTTTGCTTGAAAAGTTTATGATCATCACTAACACACAAGCTTATGGATTTCATGTGTGTTTTTTCTATGGATGATTAGGTTGATCTTCTAATGAGAGTTCACCATGCAAATTTGGTAAGCTTGGTTGGATACTGTGGTGAAGGAGATCACTTGGCTCTCATCTACGAGTTTGTGCCGAATGGAGACTTACGACAACATCTGTCTGGTAAACTTGAAAATATGATTTTATAATGATGTTCTTAGGCTCCAGGAAATGGGTCTAACGATCTAGTAATATACAGGAAAAGGAGGTATATCCGTATTTAGCTGGGGTTTTCGGCTACAAATAGCTGTGGAGGCTGCCTTAGGTTTGTACTAAGTTATACCCCCTACCATAGAACAAGAATTTTTCAAATTTCCAAAAATGTGGTGTTATGATAGATATAATAAATCCATTGAACAGGATTGGAATATTTACATTCTGGATGCATACCGCCAATCATTCATAGAGATGTAAAAACTACAAACATATTGTTGGGCGAGCAGTTCAAGGCTAAGCTTGCTGATTTTGGGCTGTCGAGATCTTTCCCAGTTGGAGGTGAATCTCATGTTTCGACGGTGATTGCCGGTACTCCTGGATACCTTGATCCCGAGTAAGTATTGTTAGTGAACGTGACAATGTGCTGAAAAGAGTTTTCTTTCCTGCATGTAGATAATGATATGCCTTGCAGATATTATCGTACAAGTCAGTTGACTGAAAAGAGCGATGTGTACAGCTTTGGGATTGTTCTATTGGAGATGATCACAAATGAACCCGTGATTGGCCAAGGTCGTGCAAAGACTCACATAACACAATGGGTTGGGTTTGAGCTGAATAGCGGAGATATCAGTAGTATCATGGATCCAAACCTTCAAGGGGATTACGACTCTCGTTCTGCCTGGAGAGCTCTTGAACTCGCAATGTCATGTGCAAATCCTTCTTCTGCAAGACGACCAAGCATGTCCCGGGTTGTTGTCGAACTAAAAGAGTGTCTTGTGTCTGAAAACTCAAGGATAGTTTGAGTTGCTGCAAGTAATTAACATGTAATGAAATTGTAACACTAAACCTGGTCATGATGCTTTGATCATCGACATATCTTAGATCGTATTCTTTGGTGATTTGTGGTTTACTATTAAATTGATAGTGTGTGGACTCATGACTGTCATGCTGTGAATGTTAATTGGATGATTACTCTTTTGAATAAGTGGAAAGGTGGTTGTGCAGCAATTAACACAACCAGGTCGGGTCCTCTGCTTATCTTATGAGTGTTGTCTGCTTCTTGTATACCCAATATGGAATCAAGTACAATCAGTGTTTTATTTGTTACTTAAAAATAGTTGTAAGAGTATTTGATTAAACTGTGTATTATATAGTTTTGATAGATGAAATGAACACGAGATCATTTCCTCAAGGCCGGAAGGTAGGTAACCTGGAAAAATTTATGGTAAAATTCGAAGTCTTTGACTAACTCCACTAAAAACCTGCTTTACAAGTTTTGATATCTGAGCTCTGATAGATAGTTTGAGCTGCAAGTAACATGTAAATAAAATCTTGTTTGGCAATTGGGTTAATCCTATTCTACTATCGTGTACTGAAGGATCTCTCTCTGGAACTACTTGTTTAGCATTTCTTGCTGCATCATAAATTCATGGTGGTCTTTGGAACCAAATGTGACAATGTCACAAATCGACTTCGGACGAAAAGTATATAGATTGTGACTACTTATTTCACTAATATGTAAGCTTAAACAAAATAATTAGGGTAATCACCTTACAAGAGTCAGAAATTAGTC